ACCTGCGGCACCGACTGGTCAGAGGCTGGATGAACGAATGCTGATGCAGACATGCTGGACAGAACATCAGGGCAGAGAGGTTGCTGTGTGGCTGATGGTGGCAGCTGAGGCAGGTGGAAGTGGGGCTGCACACTGGAGCAAGTTCAAGGCTCTCTTGGGGTCCTTTGTCTGGCAGGTTTTGTCCTCAACTTTTCAAAGCTGGACCCAGCCTCTCCCCACTTCTTTTCCTTGTAGCATCCTGTTGAGCCCTGAGTCAGGCCCAGCGTCTCGGGAGAATTCATCCTCACATCCTGCTTCCTTCCCAACATCTCCCCTATTTGCCCAGCAAAGAGGTGGCTACTATAAATAAGACAGAACTGTCGCTGTAGCCTCAGAGTCGGGCACTTGTACTTACCCCGCTGGGACTGTGATGATGCTAACCTGCCTCCCCGCCCCCAGGCTGTGGCCTAAGATCAGAAGAGAGGCCCCGAGGAAGTGGTGCTGTGTTCCCATGGTGGGCGGCTGCTTCCCCTCTGCTGACCCTCTCCCGCCTCCTCCATCACAGCCTATGAGATCGTCATAGAAACGGGCAACGGAGGCGAAACCCGGGAGAACGTCTGGCTCATCCTGGAGGGCAGGAAGAACCGATCCAAAGAGTTTCTCGTGGAGAATTCTTCCAGACAGCGGGCCTTTAGGAAGTAGGAACAGGGTACCCACAGGGAAATGGGTGTGGGGTGGGTGGGAGAGGGACCCCAACAATCTCCCTCCCCCTTAGGGGGAGCCATAGGTCTACAAGTGGTTCTAACTAGCAAGAACTTATTGAGAACCTACTGTGTGCTAGTTCCATGCTACTCACCGCAAGCACCATCCCAGTCCACACAGATGAAACTTACTTCCTGCTTCCATCAGAGCCGCCTCCGAGCTATTCAGCTGCTTGGACCGTCTCCACCTCCCCACTAACTCCACTATTCCTGGCTTAGTCCATTCGGGCTGCTACAACAGAATAATCTGAGAGGTGACTTGTAAATGACAGTAATTACTCAAAGTTCTGGAGGCCAGAAGTCCAAGATCCAGGCACCTGCAGATTCAGTGTCTGGTGAGGGCCTGACTTCTGGCTCATAGACAGCCATTCTCCCACTGTGGTCTCACACAACAGAAGGAATGAGGGGGCTCTCTGGTCTCTTTTCTATAAGGGCACTAACCCCATTCATGAGGGCTCCACCCTCATCAATTTCCAAAGATCCTATCTGCAAATACCACTGCACGGGAGTTTCAACATATAAACTTGGAGAGGGCATAAAAGTTCAGTCTTCAGCAGACTCCCTCGATACCAGGACAAATTCTAATTTCCTTAGACTGGCACTTACAAATCAATGCTGACTGACCACACTCCCACCTTCTCCATTGCCATTTCCCACACTGAACCCAAACTTCACCCATGCCAGAATTTCCTCGCAAACACCTGCATATCTACACCCCACTATTCCCATCTGTGACTTTGCTAAGTCAGGTGTGCATTAGGGAATGCAGTAGGCACTCAGTAAATGCTTACCTACTTCACAGGTCACAGGCAGCTCATTAGCCACACGTTGTTTCCTTCAGGGGTACCACAGACACATTCGAGTTTGACAGCATCTACTTGGGGGACATCGCCTCCATCTGTGTGGGCCACCTGGCCAGAGAGGACCGGTTCATTCCCAAGAGAGAGCTGGTCTGGCACGTCAAGACCATCACCATCACCGAGATGGAGTATGGCAATGTGTATGTACAGTACCTCTAATGCAGCATGGGCCAGGGGTGTGGGGAGGTGTCTCTCCCAAAGCCAAGGCCACCCCGTTCAGGAGGCTTACAAGGCCAGATAGGAAGGAACAGCTATTCTGTTTTGGAGCTATATGAATTATTTATCAATCTCCAGAGGCAGGGGACTAGGCTAGATGACCTTGGATGTGTTCAGCCTCTGACTCCAGGGAGACTTCCTTGGAGGAACATTGAAAAAGCCAAATAGTGCCAGACAACAGGGCCTTTCCTTGCCTTCCCATCCCTCCCTCTGCAAGGACACAGAAATATCACAAAGATCAATACTTACATAGTCACAGTGAGAACATCTGTGGACAGCACAGGGACCGGAAAGCAGCAGGGTGATCCAATAGCACCCATCCTTTGGGCCCCCTACTCCTCTCATTGGGGTCTTCTGGAGATAGGCATTTTGGGAGGATTCAGAGCCTTTGTTACCTGGGCAACATAGGCACAGCTGTCAATTTGTCTGATTAAAGTCACTTGGAACCCATAATAGCCTGAAGGCTCCAGAAGGCCTGGAAGACACCAAGAAGAACCCAGGCAGGAGTGGGAAGAGGAAGCCAAGGCCAAGATTGGCTGGTTGCTGAGTGCGCAGCCTCCTGCCACATCCCCTCCTAGGGCTGTAGCATTACACACACTGGAGCCTTTCCTGCACCTGGGAGGGTGAACATAGCCCCCACAGAAGCAACACCCAGGGGCAGGCCTGCCAGACCCAGGAGAGTCCCTTGTTGGCAGGCACCGGCCGTGAGGAACCCAAGCCTCTCAGAGCAATGTCTTTCCACACTCCGTTTGTGATCGGCAAGTGCCCTGCATTTAGCTCCCTTCATCTAGGCTTCCCCTTTTGGAATTGGGCAGTTAAAGGGTTCTGAGCTCCAAGCTTCTGTCTTAGCTTGGGCTGCCCTAACAAAATATGGTGGCATAAGCAATAGACATTCATTTGTCCCAGTTCTGGATACTGGGAATCCAAGATAGGAGTGCCAGCATGGTTGGGTTCTGGTGAGGGTTCCCTTCCTGGTTTGCAGATGACTGCCTTCTGGTTGTGTCCTCCCATGGCAGGGAACAGCTCTGGCTCCTAATTCTCCTCTTTTCAGGTTGCTGATCCCACTGAGGGTCCCACCCTCGTGACCTACTCCTGGTTATCTCTTAAAGGTCTTGTCTCCAAATACCATCACAATGTGGGTAGGGCCTCAACATGAGTTTGGATAGGAGGAAAAATTAATTCATAGAAACTTCCCTCTTGGGCTGCAGTACCATTTGTTGCTCTTTTAGAGAAAACCCAGCCTGAGGACAATCGATCCTGCAGGGGTTGTTGGGTGTGGCTTCTCTGGCCAATCCCGATGAGGATTTGAAAGCTGGAACTTCAGTCCCAAGAGTTCAAGACTCAACCAGCGAGTTAGGGCCAGGTTAAACCCCCTTGGGCTGCCCAGAGCTGCCTCCTAACCACAAGGAATGAGTTTGCTGTTGCCTCCTCTTCATGCCCCCAGATAAACAAAATCAAGGAATAGGAGAGTCACCACTCCAGGTATCTTTAAACCTACAATGTTGTTTGTGAAAGAAAGAGAGAGCTAAAGACCCCCACACCTCCTGGTCTCTTCCTGTCCCAGGAAGAAGGAAAGGTGCGGTTCCCACTCCACGCTTCTGAGGCCAGGTTGTAGGATTCGTGTATCCAGTTGAGAGAAGCAGCCTCTCCCAAGTGAAGCATCTTCTCCTACACCCTCAAACTGGGACCCGTTGTCAGTGTGTCCCCAGGGCTGCAGGAGGAGGAAGAGGTGTCTGTGGGAGTGGTTTCTCCCTGAAGTGAAAGAAATTCAGAGAATCTGGGCCCCTGGACACTGGAGCTGTTAGACAGCTTGTGGCCTTGAGCAAGTGCCCATCACCTCTCTGTGCCTCACTCTCCTAATGGGAGAAAGCTAGATGCCCCCTGGAGTCTGACTGGAGGGGAAGGACAGCAGGAGTGCCGTCCTGGGGTGCTTTCAGAAGCTCCCCCACCCACTGCTTGCCTGTGTAGGTCTCAAGTTGTGGTTCCTGAGGAATAAGAAACTCCCCCACCCCCTAGAATTATCACCTTCATCCTCAGCGCAACTCTTCAGGTGGGTCTAATCATGGCAGCTGGTTACATGGCGTCTTTCTAGAACGTACTTCCATCTACACTAGAAAAGACACTTAGCACCGCGAATGTGCCCGCAGTTCCTTTCCAACTACCGTGTGAGCCATATTTGAATTTCCATGAATTTAGTCTCAATCTCTTATAAGCACAATAACCTCAAATTTTCTTCCTCCGATCTTCTCCCATTCTCTGATTTTGTCTTCACCTTTTCTCTTTCTCTCCCACTCTGATATCCTCAGGATTTTGGTGGAAGAACACACAGAGAGTCTTTTATTTATTTTTTTTAATTCAGAATCCTCTATTGTTTTATCCCAATAGCCTTTCTAATACATAATTATCATCAAAATTCGAGTAACACGGAAAAGTAGGCAAAAGAAAGTAAGATTTCTGTCAGGCCCTGCCAGCCGGTATTTTGGTAACTCCCTTCTCTCTGGCATTTTCTAATACTTCACATACACCGTGTGCACAGAAGGGCGATCATTTTGCCCGTGTTTTTATGTAGCGATCGCTTCCTGCTCATCCTCTACTTTGGCCTCCACTCTTACTGGCCACCCTACACTCATTGCCAGCTGGAGCCTGGACTCCACCAAGCCCTTGAGTCACATTATGGTGATCTTCTAATTATGTCTATTAGAAAACATTTCCTTATATCTACATCAGGGATTTTTTTTTAGCCATCAAAATAATGAATTAAATATGTACCAGATGACTTGGAGAAATTCCCAGGAAGTATTGTTGAGTGAGAAAAGCAAGATGCAGGAAAACATGTCTTATATGAAGCTGTTTAGTCAAGGGAATACTGACATCCCCATATGTCTGTGTGTGTGTGTGGGTCTGGGCATGGTTGGGTGGAATGGGGGGAAATTTGGCAGGCTGCACCCTCAACTGTTACTTGGGTTATTTGAGGTAAAGGTGGGATGCTAGAAGGAGGGAGAGAAGAGGAGGTAGAGCCAAGCGAAAAAGAGAAAGAAAATGAGTACATTTGGGAAAGCATATATATGCTCATACAACTTGTGCATTTACATAGAATTATGGATATTGGTAGGCATATGCATGAAGAAATACATTTTAAAGCATTCTTAAAACAAAGAATGCAAGTTTATCTCCCTCTAAGCCATTCTGGAATGGAATAACAATCCAAATATATTAAGTGATAAGTTGGGGAAAGAGATCTCAAAAAAATAATCAAGATTTTCCTGTGAAGCATCTTTAAATGGCTTGCTCTTCAGGGCCAGACGCCCCTGGCTCTGAGTTACCTGGAGCAGTGACTTTTCCTCTTCAAGCCTTAGCTCCCGCTTCGATAAAATGAGAGGATAATGTTTAGGGTTGTTGTGGGAGTTAATGAGATGCCAACTGCAGAAGACCAAGTTCTTTGTGCTGTTAAGAATGTTCGTCTGAGGGCTGTGGGTGTAGCTCAGTGGTAGAGCATGTTCTTAGTGTACTCGAGGCCCTGGATTCAATCCCCAGCACCAAAAGAAAAAAGAAAAAAAAAAGGAATTTTTATCCAAAATGGGTGTTTTAGTCAGGTTTTTGTTGCTGTGACCAAAAGACCTGACAAAAATGACATAGAAGAGGAAAAGTTTATTCGATGGTCACAGTTTCAGAGGTTTCATAGATGGCCAACTCTATCTCTCTGGGCCTGGGATGAGGCAGAAAATCATGGCAGAAGGGCTTAACAAAGAAAAGCAACTCGGGGAATGGAAATCAAGAAGCAGAGCTCTCTCTGCTCACCAGGGACAAAATATAAACCCCAAAGCCATACCTCGGTGATCTATCTTCTACAGCCACACCCTACCTGCCTACGAGTACCACCCAACTAGTTAATCCATATCAGAGGATTAATCCACTGGTATGGTTACAACATTTATAATCTAATGATTTCACCACTGAATGTTCTTGCATTGCCCCACACTTGAGCTTTGGGAGAAGACTCCAAATCTAACGCATAACAATAGGGGTTTTTCCTCACTGGATACACCTTTCCATTGCTGCATTCCTGAAGTGGGCCCATTCACCAAGTGCCATGAATGCTCATTTCCAAAGCTGATACAAATATTAGCAACTTGGAGTGGAAAGAATCCATACCAATTGTTCATTCCAAACCTAGGGAGCAAGAAGCTAGGAGATCAGTTAGGAGAACTTTGACATTCTCCAGGTAAAAGAGCTTGGTAACTTGGACCAGAGCAGGACGGACAGACAGATACTGGGTAGTTTTTCCGGTGAGCTCATTCTGGGTAAACTTTAAAAATAGGGTCAAAAGGTTTTGCTCATGGATTGGATATGGAGTGTGAAGGACAAAGAAGTATGTAGAAGAATCAAGGTACAACTAGAGGATGCCACCTCTCTGCAAACGAGAACAAGCCCCAGACTCACAGCTTATTGCAGACATTTCCAGCCTCATGATCTTGGGCTGGAATCCTGGGAGGAAATTATCAATGGGTGGGGGAGGATGAGATCCTGGCTGGTGTCCCCTGAGTGCCTCTCTCTCCCATCTCTCTGCCAGGTACTTTTTTAATTGCGACTGCCTCATCCCCCTCAAGAGGAAGAGGAAGTACTTCAAGGTATTCGAGGTTACCAAGACAACGGAGAGCTTTGCCAGCAAGATCCAGAGCCTGGTACCCGTCAAGTATGAGATCATTGTGACGACAGGCTATGAGCCAGGGGCGGGCACCGATGCCAATGTGTTCGTGACCATCTTTGGAGTCAATGGGGACACAGGCAAGCGAGAACTAAAGCAGAAAATGCGCAACCTCTTTGAGCGGGGCAGCACCGACCGTTTCTTCTTGGAGACCCTGGAGCTGGGCGAGCTGCGCAAGGTGCGGCTGGAACACGACAGCAGTGGCTACTACTCAGGTTGGCTGGTGGACAGGGTGGAGGTCACCAACACCAGCACGGGAGTGGCCACCATCTTCACCTGCGGCCGGTGGCTGGACAAGTCTCGGGGGGATGGGCTCACTTGGAGAGACCTCTTCCCCTCTGTCTGAGATGCCCTCCACGAGCTTTCGTGTCTCTACCTGACATTCAGTAGCCACTACTGAGACCTCTGGGGACAGGGACCTGTGGCCAGCAGACCTCTGAGAAATTCATGGTCCTTCAGAGGCCACTATGTGTGGTTGAACTTTTGTGGAGTTCGGCTTTCCACAGTCCCAGTGTCTTGGACCTAAGGAATCATAGTCATCATGTGTCATATTCCATGACTGCACAAAAATATCTTTTTGCATTTCCTTTATCTCAAATAACAGTGGTGACCAGGCTAGGACTTGCTGCAGGGTGTGGATGGAAAATTGGGGCTTCACCCAGGGGAGAGAAGTGGGGAAGGAGAGGCCACCAAGATGGTGTATTTTAAGCAAAAACTAATTAACACTTTTTTCCCAAAAAAGCTGGGCTAATTAAATTATTACAAACCACACCCCACAAAGAGCTCATCTTAGCATCTCCTCAGTAAGAAAAGCATGCCTTTCCTCAATTTTAATAAATCCAGTGGCAAATGGAGAAAAACATCAGAAAGAAGTGTTTATGGGGGATTTATGAGCCTGTGAAATGTAGATAATTCTTCCCATCACTTTACAGAGAACACCTGGGCAAGGGCCAGCTGATTAGCCCAGTCTGTGGCAGCACAGGGGGGACAGGCACCAGCTGATGGGAGACAGCACCTGGAACAGCCTGGTATATCTGGGAGAGTCAGTAAGCCAGTGCTCCCTGTAGTTCTCTGTGGGCAATATTTGGATGATAAGCTGAAGTATTAGGAACAAGATGAAGACCTTGATGCAGAAGCAGCAGGAAAACTGCACACTTGTGCACGCACGTGGATATGCATGTGCGCAGTCACATGCATACACACAAGCACCCACATGCACACATGGCCCCCCAACTCTCCCTGAGAGACAGTCACAGAGTCAGGCGACAGACAGCCAGACTCAGCAGAGCTCAGGCTCTAACGTCTGATTTTCCTGCAGAGAGGGGCAGCAGGAAGAAGAGTTAGGCCAGGAAGTATTCTACCAGGAGAGGACCAGTTTACCCTGCAGTGTCACCTGTGCCCCCTACCCCAGAGAGGTCTACACTCTCAGTGAGGCTTCATGACTATAGCAAGCTCAGAGAGATCTCAAGGATTTCTTGGGTAAAGGTAAAATGCACAGGCTCCGGCACCCCAGCTCTGCAGCCATTAGACTTTGGGCGCTTCATTTTATCTCTCTGGGCCTCAGTTTCCTCATCTGCAAAACAGGGAGAATACTGATAACTCCTACCTCATAGATTATTAGGAGGACTAAATGAGTTAACATGTGGGTGGTTTGAGTGCAGCACCCACATTTAACAGTGAGTGTAGCCATCAGGTCAAACCAGCTATCCTCACAGGACACCAGAAGAGGAAAAGTGACCCTGAAGCTACTGTATTTCTAGCCTTCATTGGAGCTGGCTCTTCCCCTGGGCCTGGATGAGAATTCAGACAGCCTTGCCACTCCTCTGGACTCCATCAGGTCACAGAAAGTCCAAGAAACACTTGAAGTCACAAAGTCCACCTCTAGTCTATAACTGAATGTCCCTAATAGAGACACCCAAACATCAAACCTAAAACAAGTCTCCTCCCAGTCCCCAGATCAGCCTTGAAGTGAGGGAAAACTGAGAATGTGTGTGTGTGTGTGTGTGTGTGTGTGTGTGTGTGTGTGTGTGTGAGCACATATTGGTGTGTGCATGTGCACGGGTGTGAATTGTGTGGAGGGTGTATGCAAGTGTGTATGAGAAAGCCCCGCCTCTTTCCCCTGGGGGGCCCCACCTCTCCTTCTCCTGCCTTTGCCTCCAGACTTCTGACTCCTCCAGAGGAGGGACAGGAGTGAGGGGAGGAGGCGGCTCCATAGTTGAGTGGTAGCTGTGTGGTTGATGTCTGTCTTTCTGGACTTGGTGGGCATTTGGAACTTGTCCCACAAGCACCTGTGTGGGTTCATCCCCCCACACTGTCTTCTTGGTTGGGATCTGAGACACCCCGTAGGGCCCTACCCCACCCCCACCTGGTCCCCGGCACACTTTGTTCTGTCAAACTCTGGGCCTGCAGGCCTCTTACTCCTCTCTGCCTTCATCTGCCGACCCACCTCTTAGCCCTGCCATTTTTCTACAGGGAGCAGGCCACTGTGTCCTCGACCAAGGTGGACACAAGACCCTCTCCAAATAGCCCTGCAAAAGCCTCAGCCGCTCGCCTTGGGCTAAAGGGCAGCCAAAGGGAAGGGGGTGCTCTCAGCCCCCAGTGACTCTCTCCGAACATCCCACCCTCATGTCCACTGCCCCCTCCCAGTCTGCCAGTCCCGGTCACAGCCTGGAGGGGGATGCTCAGCTCGAGTCCAGTTTTCTGCCATGTCCCAGCAAGTGCTGCTTCATGGTTTCGCTGCAGAATGTGGCATCTGTTGTCTTCTTGATTCAGCCAAAACTGGTGCGGAAGAGCCTCGTGTACTCCCGACAAACACTGGCTTAGTGTTCCGAGGATGCGCAGGCCTGGCTTACCCAGGAGCTCCGTCAACTCCACTGCCATCCATGTCTGTCCGTTCCCTCTACTTTCCTCAGAGGGCTCATCGGGATCCGCTAAGACTCTTGCTGTGAAGAAACAACAAACAACAACAAAAAACCCTCTTACTTCCTTTGGTTTATTCAGGTGCACTTGGTTACTCCCGGGGCTTCTCTCCCACCTGGTTCCTCAAGTTCCTGAGACCTGGGCCACTTCTACCCTGAGCAATTTGCCTACAGCTCTGAGCCCAGCATAGTGCCTTTTAGCAATGCTGTGCACATTCCTCTGTGTGCCTCTGCCAGGGCTGCCCCTCTGTTGCAAGTCTCCACCCTTCCATCTCACTAGGCCCTGCGCTCACCTTCTTTATGTCTCAGCTCAAGATGTCCACTCACTTCCAGAAAGAGTTTCCATTATCCTTCCCCCAGGAAAGAAGAAGGAACAGCCTCTGTGCCCACATTTCATGCCACCTCATTGATTGTGGAGAGCTGCCCTGGATGCAGACGCCTTTAAGCCCTGATGCACAGGGTTCTGAACAATTATTGCCTTCAGTCTGGCACGGTAGTGCCAGGTCGCAGTAACTTGGGCATAACCCCAGCTCAGCTAACGAGGCATGGCTTCTGGAGTAGGCGTCACCCGCTGGGGTTGAGTTACACTCACCTGTTCCTTTGTAATCCTGCCCCTTTGCCCTTTTTGGGAAAGAATGTTCCATGAAACCTCCCCTGGTGTGTCCCCTATATAAGAATAAAGAATTCCAGTGGCTCTTTCTCTTTCCATGGACCCATAAGGTCTCAGAGCCTTGCCCAGATTATTGAAAAGGTACTTCTGTGTGTTTGCGTGCTTTCTTTGTCGTTTTCTTAAGTTATTGGAATAGCCAGATTTTGTGAACTCAGCGTTAGGTCGCCAGCTAGGAGAGATGGTGATAATGAATTTCTCCAACTGGAACATGAATTTTAAGAAGGGCTACACTGACTCCATATGTGTAGCTCCAGCACTCATCACAGGGTCTGGTGCATAGTTTGTACACTAAATGTGTATGAGGGATGATGGATGGATGAGTGGACGGATGGATGATTGAGTAGATGGGCGGGTGGATGGATAGATGGAGGGGTGGATAGATAAGTCTTTTTCAAGGCTTAGAATATCTTCTCTGATGAGACCCATTCCAGCTCATCATCTCTAGTCAGAATACTTCTAAAAGCAAACCCTTCCTGATACCTCAACTCTTTGCCAAGAGGCCCTTCTTAGCCAGTCTAGGTTATTTCTCCAGACGCCTATTGTCCAAGCTTCTAGCAGCCTATTTCTCCTTTAAAGAAATTCCCAAGTTCATGATCTTCATATTTCAAACTCCTCAGGGCACACAATTATGCACATTCAGTGGTGACCCCAGGGATATATGGATGAGAAGATCATTTAGGTTGTCCCCACTGGATCCTGTGCCTCAGGGAGTTCCTATGTATTGTTGGGGCTGGGGAAGGACAATACCATTAGCCCTGGTCTGGTCTAGAAGTCACTCCTGGCCATTCACTTATTTCATAAATATTTATCAAACATCGGAACATGCCAGGCAAGGCTGAGGATACAGTGCCAAGAAAAAGAAATAAAAATCCTAGCTTTATGGAGCTTATATTCTTTTTTTAAGCATATAAAGCAGAGTTTATTTAAAAAGGGGTAACATAGACTTCTCTCGGGAGGGAGAAGGGGGCCATAGCTGGTATCCTGGTATCCCAAGAAGTGAGGGCATTTTGCCTTTTTATATGTCCTAGGCTCCCTTTGATGGAGCTAATCTAACTGGAGGAAAGAGGTGTTAAAAAAATAAATTTAAATAAATAAACTCTGTGGCACATCAGATGGAAATACATGATGGAGAAAAAACAGAGAAGACATGTAGGTGGGGGTGGAAAGAAGGGGGCTGCAACTTTAAAATCAGATGGTGGAAAGTTAACAGTGAGTAAATGAATCCCTAGAGGAGAGGAAATGATGTCATGTCAAGACATGAAGGGAAAGTCCTCCAAGCCAAGGGAAGAGCAAGGGTAAACCTGGAATGTTGGAGGAAGTTTACGGAAACCAGGTGGCAGGCACAGCATGAGCTGGGAGAGCCAATAGGAGACAAGGTCAGAGTGCTGGTAGGACCCATAGGACCTCTAGGCACCTGAGGGTCTCTGCTGTGTGCTCTGAAAGAGAGGGAAGCTGTTGGAAGATGTGAGCAGAGAGTAGCATCGTCTAACTGGATCACTCAGGCTGCTGTGCTGAGGTCACAGTACAGGGCAGCACCAGGGCGAGCTGACGGGAGGCTACTGCACTAATCCAAGCAAGAGATGAGGACAGCTCAGAGCAGGGTGGTAGCCGTGAAAAAAGTCCAAAGTGGTCAGGTCCTGAGTCTATTGCGAAGACACAGGATTTGCTGAGGGGTTGAGTGTGAGATGTGAGATCAAGAAAGGAGTTGATATTGTTAGAAACAAATTTTACCTGTGCACCTAGGAGAGTCGGGTGGACATTCCTTGAGATGGAGAAGACTGTGGGGGAGGCAGTGGTTTGGGTTGTGCTGATTTTCTTGTAGGTGAGGGGAGGGTCGGAGCTTTAGATGTATGTCTCTTAGATACACAGTAGGCACCTGGTGGGAAGGCATTTGAAGTCAAGTCACATATTCAAGGGAGAGATGGGGCATCTGTAATGACATACTCTGAGGAGAGGACTCTCCCCCAACTCTTCCACTTTCCCAAGCATCCCTAAATACCCCTGGAACAATGCCAAGGGCCAAGGACTGTGTCTCAGAGACCTGGGCCTTAGGAGAGCGGCATGCTCTAGAGGCTGGGTTCAGTGTCGTTCTCACTTTCTAATTATGTGACCCTGGGCAAGTTATGAAACTGCCTGTGCCTCGTTCCCCTAAAATTGGAGATGATTCTAGGGCCACAGAGATTCCTATAAAGAAAAGTGTAACCAGCTCAGCATGGTGCCTGGCACCCAGGACCGGCTTTGTGAGGGCCAGATGTCATCAGCCTCAGTACCCGCCCTGCTACTCACTAGATCAGTGACTGGATGCTTCCCAGGCCCTTCCTTGCTCTCATAAGAAGACGGCTCTGAAGCTGAGTCTCTCTGTTTTCCAAGAGAGAGGCAATGGTCTTTGGGAGCCACCCACTACCTTGGAGGAAGAGGCTGCCAGGTGGCTGCCAAGACATCTTCAGCCTTAGGAATCAGGTGAAATTGGGGCTAAATAACAAAGGCAAACACTGACTCTGGCATCCTCTCGGCTTCCTCTTCCCCAGGATGGCCGCAGCAACCCCACCCCACCCCATCCCCTCAACACACACACCTCGATGGTCTTTCTGATGTCTCCAGTCCTCCCAAAGCTCTGGCTCTAGCCCATGCAGCCTGCCCTTGGCAGACAGCTCCCCTGTGCAGGGAGCTGACTCTTTCTAGCAACTGGTGAGACTGAGCACATCCTTCTTCCCATCTCTTCTGGAAAACCCTCTGTCAGTGCCTCAGCATTTGCAAGACATCATGAGAATGCCCTTAATCAGAGCTCTGAGTACTTCCCCTGTAAGCCCAGGCAAAGGAACATTCCAGCTCAGCCTGGGCCTCTGGGTTTTGACTACAAACTAAGCTGCTAGCGTGTATGGAGGAGAGCTTCAGAGATGTCTCCCAGTTCTGGGTCACTCACACATAGGCGTTTGTTTGTTTGTTACCGAGCACTTGACCACTGAGCCACATCCCCAGCCCTATTTTGTATTTTATTTAGAGACAGGGTCTCCCTGAATTGCTTAGCGCCTCGCTTTTGCTGAGGCTGGCTTTGAGCTCGAGACCTTGACACAGCCTCCTGAGCTACTGGGATTACAAGCATGTGCCACTGTGCTTGGCTCACATGGGAGTTTTGAACCTGGCCTCCTGCATATTTTCCCATCTCTCTCCCCAAAGCCACACCCCAGTCCCGGGGAAGAGGCCCTGTGGAAATCAGCCCTGCTGCCTGCCCCGATGGGGTGCCGCCTCACGCTCTGCTCTGTGTTGCCCTGGCCTGCTGCAGACCCACGTGAGAAATGTATTTTCCAAAGTCCAGACGGCTTCCCACATCGAGAAGCAAGAGTGACAGAGGTTGGGTTTCTGGGTGCAGAATGGAGG